ATTTTGTTTGAACTTAGAGTTGGGACCAGCCGACCTGTTGAATGTGCCTGAAAAGGAGTGAGGATTAAGAAAAGAGACAGAAGTTAGAGTCAGGAGGGTTCTCGATGAATAGTGTAGATGCCTGCAATTTATTTATCATACCCCTTTTATACCCAAAGCAAAGGGGAAGGGCGAAAGACTTCCTTACCATGATACAAGGAACAAATAAGCATAATTATCTCTCTAATTCTCAAAACATCAAGTAGCCATGCCTTTGGCCAAACATCCTGTTATTTGGCCTTGAGGAGCAAGAATAAGTTTGAACTTTCTGACCTTAAGTCAGGATGGAACGGAGTCTCTGTGGGCTCCCACAACTTAGCAATTGCCTTTTAAGTTTACCCACTGTTTTCACTTCCAGTGCTGTGAATATAACCCAGGTTCCTGGACATACCAGGCAAGTGATGTCACAGTGAGCTCCATCCCTAGCCCCTAGTGTTTTGTTCTCTGTTTGTACCTTTTGTTATTTGTTCTCCCCTCCAGTCTCCAGAATCTCTATGGTCATGAGAAATATTTCCCTCCCATATGTTCAGTCTGTTGCTTGTTCCCATCCCTCCCCAGAGCCCCCTTCCTTCTCAGCAGCTGCCATTCTCAGACACTGCGATGTGCTTTCTCTGCTGCCTTGTCCTACACTCTGCTGCCTGGTCCTGCATCTCATGTCACCAGCTTTCTCATATGTTCTTCATTTGTATGAGGGAAATTTATAAGAGAAGGTACATGAAAAAGAATGTTTTGCGTTGAGCAGAACTCCTGGAATCCAGTTGCAGAGAGGGAGGAGTGATGAGCAAAGGGTTCAAGACCAGGCTGGTGAAAACCACAGAAACAGCTGACCTGAACAAGGGGGAGCTCATGGACCCCAGACTGATAGCTGGGAAGCCAGCATAGGACCGAACCAGACCCCATGAATGTGGGTGTCAGTGAGGAGGCCTTGGAAATCTATGGGGCCTCTGGTAGTAGATCAGTATTTATCCCTAGTATATGAATGGACTAAATTTAAAAAGAAAGAAAAAGAATGTTTTGAACTGCAGGTTTAAAAAGTCTTCTGATTTACTGCTTTGATATCTGACCAGTTCTCTGAGTAATCTGAGGTTGCAAACTGTTTTTTGTCTAGACTTTAAAAAAAAAATATTGCCTGTTTTTTCAGCTTCAGGGCTAATTTTGAGAAATCCAGTGTGTGCTGTGATTTGGTTTCTGTCTCTAGATGACTTTTTGGATAGCCCTTTCATCACTGGCATAATGGAATGTCTGGCTTCTTTTGTTTTTCTGAACATATGCAATTGAGAATCCCCCTTTGTTTCTGGAAGTGCTTTCTTCTAGATTAGTAATTAATTTCCTTCTCTCTCTCTTCCTGCTTTGTCTTTGTTTTCTCTTTATTTCCTTTGGACTTGTCTCTTCTGCTACTTCCTCTTCTTTCTTCCATGGGTGTTGAACCCAGGCTTTAACCCTGGACTCTTTTCTTGGACATCTAGAGAGGTTATTCAAGGAAGAGGTAACTAAAACAAAACAATAGGTTCTTACCCGCTGGTGTGAGGCACACATCTTTAATATCAGTACTTGCCTAGAAGAGGCAGGTGGATCTCTGAGTTCAAGGTCAGCCTGGTCTATAAAGGAAGTTTTGGGACAGTCAGGGCTACACAGAGAAATCTTGTCTCAAAAAGAAAACAGGAAAGTAAAAACAAACACCCCTGGGTTCTTGTTCTGTGGCTCACCCATGCACTGTGATTTGGAAATGATGTAGTCTCTAGTTTACACGCACTCTCAATTGTGAACATGGAGATCTGATCTACGAATGTATCAACATTTGATTGTTTTCTCAGAGAGGAATTCTCTTACTTCCTACTTGCCAGTTCCTTTTTCTTCCCTCTGCCCTTTTCTGAGATTCTTGATTGTGTTTTGAGTCCAACTGATATACCCCTCTCTGCCATTAAGTTTTTAGTAATATTAAACCAAAATTGATAGTGGAGAGAGTCTCTGAAATGGAAAGGTTTAGTGGGCTGGTCCAGAATCTAGCCTGAATGGACCAAGTCCTGGGACAGGCTCTGGAGCCACCACAGATGCATGGCAGCTGGATCTGAGAGGCAGTTGCATCTGAGAGCCTCTTGAGAGCATTTCACTATCATCAACTCTTTTAGGGCTGTCCAAGAGTAAAGGTGGGAATCACAAAGAGCCTAGGTTTTGGACTAGCTACTTCAGGGTAAGGATAAGTGTCCTGGGTGCCTGAGGCTAGAAGCTTATCTGTGTGCATCTGAACAGGAGGTGACTGCTGGGGTTAAGTCTAGGGTCTGGTCCACATTCCTGTACGGGAACAGGCTTTATTGGTTTTAGTTCACACCTACTAGCTGATTAAGCTCCCTTATCTCTCCCACTCCTTAGAATTTTTTTCTTATCAGATTTTGAAAAGGCAACTGATTTATTAAGAGTGGACTTAGGCACCTGCAATGGAGAAAAGCCCTGCTTAGTATGCCATAACTGAAGTGATATACTTAACCTGTGACAGTTGCTCAGAAACACCCTCAGTCCTTCTCCTCCAGCTGTCCCCATGTGACTCTTTTCTCCCTTTGCATCTCTGGCTAAGGAGTTGGCTCACACCTTCACAGTCTCCACTTGGAGGCTGACTAGGGGAATCCAGTGAATTGACACTTGGGGTCCTGCTGGTTTCCTTCCAGTATCTAATTCATGGCCATAGTGTAGCTAGCTTCCTGACTGACTTGTCCCACAGAAACAGTGAATTGGGCTGTTCTCTTAGACTTAGCAGAGGGCTGGAGGTGTGTAGTTAGTAGTATTCCTAGCACAACAACGTGGTGTGTGTGTGTGTGTGTGTGTGTGTGTGTGTGTGTGTATCTTAATCAACTTACTTTTTATTCTAGAATCAGCTATTTATTCTACAAAGTGAGTGTTAATGATGGTTTTAGCAGAAGATGGTTTTTCTAGACAGGAAGGAAGAACAAACAGCAGATGCTCATTGCCTTGTAAGATGGAGATGACAGAACACTTGGAAAAAAACTGGTTAATAGAGATTACTCAAGAGGTAAGAGAGAGAGAGAGAGAGAGAGAGAGAGAGAGAGAGAGAGAGAGAGAGAGAGAGAGAAGGATTAAGGCAGAAAGAGCTTGATTATCATGCCAATTGAAACTGGTGGCCTGTTGGAGGCTGAGCTGTTATCTAATACTGATTTACTGATTTCTTGACATCTCTTTAATCCTGATCTCTTGAGAAAGGTCACGTAAAAAATAGTTTCAGTGTTTGGACATGCAACTTAGGAAGAATGACTGATTTTCAGCCTGGTTTGTTCAGAAGGTCAGTTAAGACAATGGCAATCTGTTATTTAACACTGTATAAGCACTGATGTCAGTGACTTCATTTGCTTTGTTCAGGATCTGTAGACCCTGGCATATAACATAGTAGGCCCTCATCTGTATAATGAAGGAAAATCCCTCTGCTAATTATTAAATTCCAGTAATAATGATTAGGTGTGGTATAAACCAGGATTGCCTCAAATGGATAACTTATTGAGTGAAGTACACTTACTGGATTCTTAGGTACATTTGCTTGCTAGGGAAGGTGGTCACAGGCATCCAAAGTGAACAGAGCTCTACCTGTGTCCCCGAGGACTTCATCTTCCAGAAATAGATAACTGGTAGCCCCTCTGGTTGTTAGGGCGTAGGCTCTCCCTGTAGAGAGAGGATGCCTTGTTTTATCTTGTACCTTCACTAGACTCTAAAACTCAGATCCCTCCCCTTAAAAGTCTGTAAAAGCAAGGCTTTCTGTGGTTCTGTTACTGTTGGAGCTCCTTTTTGCTCCTCTCGCTGAATGGCTGTCCTTACTAAGCCAGAAATGTCTTGGTACATCTGTCAACCTGGAAAGTTTTTTGTTATGTTGATTTTTTCTTGGGGGCACGGGCAGGGTCTCATTGTGTACCTGGCTGGCCTGTAATTCTCAGATACCCGCCTGCCTCTGCCTCCAGCATGCTAGGGTTAACTGTTTAGAACAGCACTTCTGGCAGAGTGTTATTATGTAAACTACTGGTTATCTGAAGGCCTCACAGCCTCACATAGCTCTGAATCTTCACCTAAAACATACTCCTCGGGTTGCTATAAACCCTGCTGGATGACTTTATCTTCCTTATTTCCTGTTCACTGGGTTAGGTATCATACCTGTTCACCTAAATATTTGATGTGTATTCGGAGGCACAAAGGTAACCACACACTGGTTCTCTCTTTAAGACACAGCTGGAAAGGGAATCCAACTTAGTCATTCAGAAACACTTCAGGTGTTTGAACAGTCGGTTCACTGCTCTCAGATGTTCATCAAGGTGACCGTATGCTCATTCTTTTTATCACCCTGCTTTCCAACCCCACCCCAGCCTCCCAGGACTTCACAAGTTTATCTCTGCCCTATCATGAAAAATAGATTTGGCACAAAGCCCTGGAACTCCACTTCCCTTAGACTAGCCTATGTGATAGGAGTGTCATGTTATCAGAACCCAGTCACAAGCAGAGTTTATGCCCATGAAGTGTCTCTGGGGCCCCTAGATTATTTTAGGATGAAGACTGGTCACAGGAAACACCAAGCATGTGATTAGAGACAGGGGAGTTTTGAGCCCCACTCCTGACCTTTAGAAGGGGCAGGGAGGTGTGGGTTCTCCACACTCTTGAAGAGTGAGTGCAATGGCCATTGAAGCTCAGAGCTCCTGAAACTGCTTTGGAGCCTATCCTGGCACTCGCTCTGGAGACCAGGCTGGCCTCGAACTCAACAGAGATCCGCCTGCCTCTGCCTCCCAAGTGCTGGGATTAAAGGCGTACGCCACCACTGCCAAGCATGCCTTTTAAATTTTTAATGGTTTTTTTTTTTTTTTTTTTTGGTTTTTCGAGACAGGATTTCTCTTTAGCTTTGGAGCCTATCCTGGAACTCGCTCTGTAGACCATGCTGGCCTCAAATTCACAGAGCCCCTCCTGCCTCTGCCTCCCGAGTGCTGGGATTAAAGGTGTACGCTACCAACGCCCGACCGAGAACTTGCTTCTACAGCCTTTCCATTTCATGGACACCCTGGCCTCTAAAGATAGCAGCTTCCCTTCCTCTGCTCTTCATAGGTTTCATTGTCATTAGAGGTACATGTTGCAGCAAGACAGCATTTGGACCATAGTAGGCACTGACAAATATTTGAGTGAAAGAATGAATAGGCGACTCAGTTTTCTGCCCTTGACTAGTCAGCTGGGATGAGGTGATAATGAGTGCAAGGGGCATCAAGACTTTGGGGCAGATGTAGGCAGCTAAGAGGTTTTATGGAATCGTCAAGATTCTCCGGGTTGTTAGAGCTACAGCCTGGGAGGAAGGAAACCAGTTAGGTGGTTTCTGCTGTATTGATGGCAGTTTTAGCCAAGGAGACAGTAGTAGAATTGGGAATACCAGTGGCTTTGTGATTGTAGTGTAACTCAGCAACAGTGGTGGCACTTCTCTCTGCTGTGTCCCAGTGAAGAGCACATGAGCTTTGAAGCTTCTGGGCTGGCTTAGAACTCACGTCCGCATAGGTCCTAGGAGGTCAGAGTGTAGCCTGTATGAGGAGAGGGGTTGTATTAACCTAGGGTCACACCCTCTCTATAAGTTGGCAAGGCTGTGTGTGCCCCCTGGTTCAGCCTGAGCACACTGATTGGCAGGTGAAGTACCAAGAGCCCGGCACACTAGTTTGCAGGTGTGGTAGAGTGCATGAAATTGACTCAGGCAGACCTGCGACTGCTTTGAGCACTGTTCCAGCTTCTAGTGTTAATAAAGACAAGTTCACAGATAGCGAACTACCCATAAATGATGTTTGCTTGCCTAGCACTGAAGTACAGGTGGGAATTAATCTGTGCTTGGAAGTGGATTTTCAAAGATTAAGCATGGTTTTAGTTTACTCTGGTCTTAGGAAAATAGATTTAAGTCAAGGCAGCACCATACCTCGTCTTGGGGCTCGGCAAAATGCCCAAGCAGAAAAGGCTCTTGGAAGTAAACAAGGTAGAAAATACTGGAAATATGGGGAATTTCTAGCCAGAGGCTGATTGGTTCAGAGTGGGTAGGCTCTTTTGGCTTCATTGTTGATGGCAACTTGGGTTTCAGCTTGCCTGTGTAAGAATCCAAGGTTCTGGATCCATCTGAAAGTGATGGGTTTGTTAAAAATTTGACAAATAATTGATTTTAATTTATGATTTTAGTCAGCCTTACTTAAATATAATCAACAGATAAAATGTTAATACCAACAACAAAAAATGTAAAACAGTTTCAGTGTCAAGCCAACATTCAGAAGGCATTACTGGGGGTTATCCTGTTCTGGGGACACACGTTTCTTAAGAAGTGAGAAGTGGAGTTTCATCAGACTCCCAGTATATTCCCCAAGTCTCACTGAGTCGACAAAGTAGACACAACCAAACGTTCAGTTTCCCCCTTTCTTGCCCTGCATTCCTTACCAAAATCCTACAAGAATTTAAAGATTTTGTTTGTTTGTTTAGTTGGTTGTTTTGGTTTTTTGAGATAGGGTCTCATTGTGGCCTGGAACTCCCATGTAGACCAAGTAAATACTGAAGTCACAGAGATGCCTCCTCTTCCTGAGCGCAGGGATTAGAGAAATGCACTATTACACCAGACCAGTGTAAGAATTTAAAATGTCAGGCTGGAGAGATGGCTCAGCAGTCAGTTAAGAACACTGACTGTTCTTCCAAAGGTCGTGAGTTCAATTCCCAGCAACCATATGGTGGCTGACAACCACCTTGAATGAGATCTGGTGCCCTCTGCTGGCATGCAGGCAGAAGGCTGTATAGACTGTATAAGTAATAAATAAAAATAAAATCTTCAGGACAGCCTCCAAAGCCACAGAGAAACCCTGTCTCAAAAACTCAAAAAAAAAAAAAAAAAAAAGAATTTAAAATGTCTACCAGTTGACTTGACTGAAAGTTCCTACTGGATAATGTACTAACTACAGAATCCAGTCCCAGCTGCTGGTGCCTTTGTACAAAGACACCGAACAGTCCTTTCAGTCCAGAATACACTAATGATGCAGGCATCAGTGACCATGCCCGATGCTTTCGTGACAACTGTACCTTCTGACCTGATCACCTCCCCAAGGGCCAGTCTCCAGTACAATCCCAGTGGGGATTGTGTTGCGCTGGGTGAATTTGAGCAGTCACGGATGTCTGACTGTAGTGGGTACTGATCAGCCCTGAAATGGTGCTTTGTCATACTTCTGTCATGAAAACCCAGTAACTTGATATACTTAAATCCATTGCTCTGGTCTAAGTAGCTGGCTGTCTTTGATAGCCGGGCGTGACAATCCTAGCACTTGGGAGGCTGAGGCAAGCCAGCCTGGGCTACCATAACAAGGCCATATCTTAAGGGGGGGGGGCGAGGGCTAACAAACAACAGTTGCTTATAGGTCTTCACTTGTAAGAGCCTGATCAGTTTTTTTCCCTTCTCACATATTATATCTTGACTGTAGTTCCCCCCCCCCCCAAATTCCCACTCCCCCAGATCTGCTCCTCCTTTGTTCCCTTCAGAAAAGGGCAGGCCTCTGAGGGATGTCTACCAAACATGGCATATCAAGTTACAGTAAAACTAGGCACATCACCTTACATCAAGGCTGGAAGAGGCAACCCAGTAAAAGGAAAAGGGTCCTAAAAGCAGTCAAGAGAGTCAGAGACAGACCCCACTCCCACTGTTGGGAGTCCCACAGGAACCCCAAGCTACACAACCAGAAACATGTATGCAGAGGATATAGGTCAGACCCATACAGGCTTCCCGATTGTCAGTTCAATCTCTGGGAGCCCCTGTGAGCCCTGGTTAGGCAATTTTGTGGGTAGTTTTTATGTGTCATTGACTCCTCTGGCTCCTACAATCCTTCTTCACTCTCCTCTGCAGGATTCCCAGAACTGTTCACTCTTCTGAGTTCTGACTCAAAGTAACTTTCCCTTCCCCTTCCTATCCATATTCGGGCCCAGATCTTAAGTGTACTTACCCACAGTCTGGATACTCTGTGTCTCCAGCTCCTCCCACGGCAGCTGCCTGCTGAACCCAAGGCATGGGACTTTCTTCCTCTTCTGTCTCCTCCCTCTCAGCAGTTGCTGAGACTTAGAACTTGCCTGCCCTGTGTTGTCTTTCTCTCAGATTAACCAGTTGGTACCTATGAATAAAACAAAACAAAAATCCTCCATTAGTCATCAAGTCTTTTATATAGGAATGGGAGTAATGGTTGGCAGCCTTTACTAATTTAGAGAGATAATGAGGATTAAGTGAAATGTTGAATGTTATTTCATTGTGGGAATTGAAAACAACTGATGGTGAACTTTTAGTTATATTGGTGGTGATGGTTAAGTGGTCAGCTCATCTATCATCACTACCTTTCTGGCACGTTTATCTCTAGAAATCTCATACAGTGTGTTTTGTAACATTACCTTTTGTACTAATGCTTAGTTACTGGCACAAGTGAGTCAGTCGTCTTTTATTGTCCCAGAACACAGGGCCTCTGCCAGCCAGTTTTTCTGACTTACAGTGCTTATCAGTCTAAGGGTGGAACAAAGGCCTGAACCTGTTTAGAAAGCTGTGAAGAACTCATTTTAATATGTAGCTTGGGGGCCGGGCGTTGGTGGTGCACGCCTTTAATCCCAACACTCTGGGAGGCAGAGGCAGGCAGATCTCTGTGAGTTCGAGGCCAGCCTGTTCTCCAGAGCGAGTGCCAGGATAGGCTCCAAATCTACACAGAGAAATGTAGCTTGGTGTTTGGTTGACATAAATAGAATTTCCCTTTCTCCTCCCCTTTCACTCCTTCCTGTTTTTCTTTCTAAATCCCAGGACATGGTGCAAGACCCATGTCCATAGAACAAGAGTAAGCAAGAAGTTTGTCCTGTGGGAGGGATCTAGTGGGCTGTGCTTCCCTGAGCTAGCCCATATGCTTTGCAGTAAAAGGTCATCTAGGTGTTAATGAGTTTCTTCTTCCATCCTCCTGTTCGCCCATTACATGGGCACACCTGGGAGAAGTGATCCCAGAGCCCAGAGTCCAATTAGGCCAGTCTACTTTCAGGCTAAATTGAAGTTGTGAATCTGAACTGGTAATGGTGTCTTGTGTGTCTGTGTGGCGGCTTGCATTGGTAACTCACACACCTCATACACACCCCGACACATTTGATGTGTTTGTCTGTCCAGTGATATGTCGAGGGTGAAGCTCCATTGCACTTGTGTTTTCTTACATGCCAAGTGTACCGGAGAGCTCCAAACACACGTGGGACATTAAACAATCCCGTGGAGCAGACACAGCACAACTTAGAGCATAACCAAGCTTTCTGCCTAACTCTGACCATCTGGCTAATCTGTTTTCTGCTATTACAGCAAAACCCCACCACACACTAGGTACATCATAGAGGATAATTGTTTGTTGGGGGCATAGTGGCAGAGGACTGAGGTACTAATACCCAGTGAGGGCCTTTGCTGTGGCATTATGGGGTGGAAGGGCAAGCACGGAGGGACTTGTGATACTTAACACATTCCCTCCATGCTGACATTAACTCTTTTTTTTTTTTTTCTTGGTTTTTTGAGACAGGGTTTCCCTGTGACTTTAGAGCCTATCCTGGCACTCGCTCTGGAGACCAGGCTGGCCTCAAACTCACAGAGATCCGCCTGCCTCTGCCTCCCGAGTGCTGGGATTAAAGGCATGCGCCACCAACGGCTGGCCATTAACTCATTTCTTAATGTTTCTTAATCACTTCTTTATATTAAGAATTCAAATACTTATCTACATGAGTTTTGGAGGGGACATTTAAACAGCTCTGACCTTTATATCAGTTATTTAATTTATGAACTTCCTGTGACACCACCCAACTCCTTGGTGATATTTGGGGAAAAAATCATAATTGAGGTGTTGAGTATAAAAACTAGGACCTTACATGTGCTTGACACTGAGTTATAACCTCCACTTCTGGACAGTTTCTTTGTATAGTCTTCTGTCTTAGTTGGGGTTTCTGTTGCTGTGCTAAAACACCATGACCAAAGGCAACTTGGGGAGGAAAGGGTTTATTTCTGCTTATAGCTTGTAGTCATCATCTGGGGAAGTCAGGGCAGAGACTCGGAGCAGGCGCTGATGCAGAGGCCGTGGAAGGGTGCGGCTTACTGGCTTGCTTCCATGGCTTGTACAGCCTACACGCTTATAGAAGTCAGGACCCCCAACTCAAGGGTGGCACTGCCCATAGTGAGTGGGGCCCTCCCACATCAATTGTCAATCAAGGAATTGTAACACAGGCTTGCTCACAGGCCAATCTGGTGGGAACATTTTCTCAGTAGAGGTTCCCTCTTCCTGAATACCTCTAGCTTGTGTCAAGTTAACCTAAAACTAGCCAGAACATTTTTCCTTATGTAATCGCCATGTCTCATTAATAAATACTAATGTGACTTTTGGAAATGGAGTGTTCTGAGGCAATTGCTGGTCAACTGGTCCTTCACTTCCTCCCTATGGGCATTCAAGCACGAATCTCCCTTTCTCCTTCTCTTTGGCCAGTCTGACTGATCCATTTTTTGACAGCTATTTCTGTGTTTTCCAAACTTGCATGAACATTAGAGTAATATGTGAAACTTCAAATGAGTAAGCATAGCTGGGCATGGTGATGCACACCTTTAATCCCGGCACACTGGAGGTAGAGGCAGGTGGATCTCTTGAGTTTGAGGGCAGCTTGGTCTACAGGAGTTTCAGGACAGGCAAAGCTACATAGTGAGATCCTGTCTCAAAAAAACCAAACAAATAAAAAAAATGAATAAGCATAGCTCCTAGATTGACTTGGGGTTTGTGGGACAAATTTCTGAGAATCTTAGTTTCTGAAAACTCCTTAGCAGGTTTGATGAACAGTCAGTTTGAGTGATGCTATTCAGGAATTGCTGCAACCAGGTATCTTTAAGTAGGGTCATTACATTTGGTTGTTGTGACTGTGCCTCGTGTTTACAGTGAACTTGTACCTCAGAGAGAGATGGTGCCTCCCATCCTGCTGGCCCTGCCTTGCTCCACACCAAGCAGTTGTTCTGCTCTATCAGTTGGAGCCTCTTGCCGTGTAGACATTCAGTCAAGATAATGTGTGTTAACGTTGTAAAGGACTCAGGGAACGTTTTGGTTACTTTGTGTTGATGCAGGCTAACCTGAAACTCGGGATTCTCCTGCTTCCAGCTCACCTCTCAAATATGATAGTAGGTGTCACCAAGTCCAGCTTTTTAGTTACTTTAACTAGCAGATTTGCCTGTGAATTGGATGTGATAGCGTGTCTCTGATTTCACTTGGGAGGCTTGCACATCGGAATTACCCCAAGTATAAGGCCAGTCTCGACTACACTTCAAGTTCCAGGCCAGCCTGGGCTACAGAGTGAGACCTTGTCTCAAAAACCAAGCAAACAAAAATTGTATGTGTGTTTTGAGCAGCTTCCCAGCAGCCCTCACTCAATCCTTCTCCAACCCTTGTAGTGCTTTTCACTCAGAGACATCTTGTTATCCATCTCTTCCCTCATTCTCTATAGAATATTTGGCCTTAAGGATGTAAAGACCTCTTTGAAGTGATTTATGAGAATTTCCTGATAGTGAATTTACATTTCTATTCAAAATGTCTGAGTTAAGAGTCCCAGCACCACATACAAAGCCAGGTATGGTGGTGCACATCTGTAATTCCTGAGCAATAGAGGAAGACACTGGCATCGACCTCTGGCCTCCATACACACATGCAGCTATGTGTGCTAATTGTGGGAAATTTTAGTTGAACAGAATGGCATTACAGAACCAGCGCAGGCCCCACTTTGACCTACAGACTCAGTGTACTGACTAACTGACTCTTAAGGTTCCCCTAGACATACAGGGAACCCAAGAAGTCAAAACAGTCTAGGGAAAGAACAAAGTTGGTGGGCATACATACACTTCATGGCTTCAAAAATGTAATGCAAAGCTACTGTAGTTCAGATAGTGTATGTCAGCATAAGCTTGGCATATAGTGTTTTAAAAGTCCAGAAGAAAAGCACTACTTATGGCTGGTTTTTTACCAAGTTTCCAAGAGAAGAATAGTCCTTTCAATAAATGATCTGTGGCCGGGCTGTGGTAGCCCATGCTTTTAATCCCAGCACTTAGGAGGCAGAGGCAGGCGGATCTCTGTGAGTTCAAGGCCAGCCTGGTCTACAAGAGCTAGTTCCAGGACAGCCTCCAAAGCCACAGAGAAACCCTGTCTCAAAAAACTAACTAACTAACTAACTAACTAACTAACTAACTAACTTAATTAATTAAATACACGATCTGGAATAACTTGATATTCATATGCTAGGGAATGAATCTGGACCCAACTCTGTTGTCAAAATTAACAATAGACCAGACTTATGTGTTAAAATCTGTAGAACTCTTAGATGATTGCCAGATTCTAAATTTTACCAATCTTGAATCACCCAGTAGTTTTCTGCCCAGGCAGCTCAGTTAAAGTGATTTATTGGGTCTCATCAAAACTAAACATCATTCTTCAAAAATCATTCCAAAAATAGTGAAAAGACACTGGATGAAATGGGGAGAAAACATCTACTATCTAGAACACAAATGAGCTTATAGCTCAAGATTAAAAAAACAAAACAATAAAAAACCAAAAAAAGCTTTATACTAAGCAGAATTGGATAGACTTTTTTTTAAAATGCAAAAAAAATTGCCAAATACTTAAATTAAAATGGAAACATGTTATTAGTTATGTAGACCAGTGAAAATCAAAGCCACCACTGTAGTGTGTCATTTCAATACCTAGTGGATTGACTGTGTATAAAAGATTGGCAATAAGAAGAGTTGGTGGAGAAATGGGGCCTCGTGTTGTTACTGGTGGGATGTACATAGTGCAGCCGCCAACACAGATAGACCTTGAAAAGAGCTGTTAGAAATGAAGCTAGACACAAAGGCTAGATACCGATTCTGTTTATGTAGCATGCTCATGGCATTAAATCCATAGTGATACAACACTAGTTAGTGACTGCTACGTGGCAGGAGACTGGTGCATGGCTGCTATTGGCTGTGCCAGATGCTACCTTCTGAATGTTAGTCTGACACTGACACAGTTTTTACATTGTTGTTGTTGTCACTGGCAGTGCAATTTGGGAGGAAGAGAGTATGGAATATAATGGAAAGTGCTTATATCTAGCCTGGAGCTTGCTATGTAGACTATGCTGGCCTTGAACACACAGAGATCCACCTGTCTCTGCCTCTCCAGTGATGGGCTTAAAGGTGTGAGTCATCACTCCAGCAGTGCGGGGAGATCTTACAGAGTCCCAGAGTTCCTTTTTCATTTTTCAAAGTCTCATGTAGCCCAGGCTATCTCAGACTCACTATATAGTAAACGATAACCCTCAATTTCCAATCTCCCTGCTTCCACTTCTAAGGGTTTGGATCATAGGTGTGTAACACTACACCAGGTTTTACAGGTGTGCAGCACTACACCATGCCTGGTTTTATGTGGTGCTAGGGATTAAACCCAGGACTTTATACAGGTAGCTAGACTCTCTGTCAGCAGAAATCCTTCCCCTGCCATGAGTGGCTCTGGAGGAGTCTCTTAGAGTTGGGGCTCAGGAGTGTTGATTGTACAACCTTAGGAATATCCCAGAAGCCATTAAATTGTATGCTTCAAAAGGATAAACTTTATGGTATGTGAATCATATCTGTAAAAATATAATTTGAAAAAAAATGTTACCTCAGATTTCCCTGACCTGTTAGCATTTGAATTCATGTCAGTTGAGTAGTTTATGGAACACATGGTAAGTAACAGGCACCTCAGCCGTCTAGGTGGTTCCTCTTCCACCCCTCAAGACACAGTGCAGCTTTGTGAGCCTCAGGTCAGAAGCTTTCCCCATGCCATGGTCCTTCCTCTAAGGCTCCATCTGTTTAGCAGATAATTTTGGTAACTGGAGGGAACAAGACAAATTAAACACTGCCCTTAGGTGGTGGCCATTACCATGGCCTAGTTTAACACAAGGTTGGAAAAGCCATTGGGCTTTGTTTTCCTGAAGGACATGACACCAGAAATGCTGTGGCCTGCTGGCCTTTTTGAATGACAGTGTGAAGGAAACAGGGGCAGGAAACAATGGTGTACTGGCTGTCTTCACCTGGCTTCTCAGGTATTCTGTTCTTAATGCTTCAGGACAAGCCGACTATGTTTTAGTTGACTGATCGTTATTGAATGATGTTTCTTCCTTAAAGAATTTGATGTAAAAATGCCTTCTTCTAAAAATCTTGAACTAACATTGTTGGTTCACAGGCTTTATTTTTCTATCATGTACTGACAGAAATTTTATGTTTTCTGTGACATTTTTTGTGAACTTTTCATTCAGCAATGTGGTCTTGACCGGGGCATTTTCACTGTGGCCCAATTGACTCCTGCTGCTTAATAACATCTTTTCATTCTGACCTGAAGGCTCACACTGAGTAGAACTGAGGTACGGTGTGTCCCCTCATTAGTCAAGTGTATTTCTTTTCCACAAAAATACTCAAAATCGATCTTAATATGTAAGTACTCCTACTTAGTTCCAATTTCATATATATTTGTATGGAAGGCTGGCAATTAAGACTGGAGTCCCAGTCTAGTCCCAGACTAGCCTTGAACTTGCCTTCCACCTGCTTCAGTCCCAGACTCTGCGTCAATTTAGTATTAGTGATGGGTTTGGAATTCCATGAAAACAGAACCTTGTCCTCCTGTGTGAGCCTGGAATCCATCCTCATGCCTCACACATCATAGTCTTGTGTTTGTTGTATGAGTGCACACTGTAGTATCTATACCTACTGCTTTGTAATAGACCTTACAGCGTCCTGAGTTGAAAATGGTGGAATAATTTTTCTCAATGTTTTTGTCTTTCTTTAGGTTGGTATTTTGTATGGCATCTATTTTTATCTAAATTCAAGTTTCTACGGGAACTGGTGGGAGACACAGGATCCCAGGAAGGAGATCATGAGCCCTCCGGGTCTGAAACAGAAGAGGACCCTTCGGCTTCACCACATAGGATCAGATCTGCTCGACAGAGAAGAGCGCCTGCTGCTGACGAAGGCCACTGACCGCCCTACGAGAATATGCTCTAAGGCAGTTAGGAGCCTCTGTCTTTAGTGACCTGGCTTTGAAAGTTACTGTGACTGAGGAACATTTGCAATTGGATTTCTATCCAGTTCAAAAAAAATTTACAAGTAAGCCATATAGAAAATAAAGGGAATTTAAACCAAATTGGACTGTTACAGATTTCGTCTTGGATATTTTGCTTCACTGGGTCTACTTAACACTCTTACTCTTTGGATTTTTCTTTTTTCTTTTTGCACTGGTGTAAATCTGTAAACATTTCAGGCTTGAAAAAACATGATGTTAATAGTCATAAAATGTACCCTTTTCTTGACATTTTAGCTTGTTAATTCAGGATGTATCTCATTACTGTCAACCAGGTGGTAGTCTTGTCATTATCCTAGCTCATACATATGTGAGTTTGCATCTAGTTACAGTGTCATTACCTCAGCTGATGTGTATACTGTTGGTATCAAATATATCAGGTCTAATTGGCATTTTAAAAATGTCTTCAAAAAGTACCATTAATCAGCATTGAAATGGAAGGTTATTGCATATGCAGAAAACCATGTAGACAGCAGTGGAGCAAGCATGTTTGATATTAGTGATGCCAACATTCGCTGCTGGAGAAATGATCACAAGTCAATGTTTCTTTGCAAAGAAACAACAAAATGCTTTTACTGGACTTAAGAAAAGAAGATACCCACAAGTTGATGAAGATATGCTATATTTTGTCAGTGAGACATTTGCAAAACAGGGCCGGAGAAATTGCCAAAATCCTCAGAAATGATCTAACAAAATTCAAAGCAAGAAGAGACTGGTGTGGCCACTTCACAGAGAGGACTGCTGTTAAGACATGAAATGCTCTCTCCGGAGCTGCCTGCTGGTATTAGACAGAAGGCAGTGGTAGGCATCCCGTCAGGAAATGCCGCATCACAAAACAGATCTAATGACTAATTTGAAGTGGTTTGGAAGAAGGGTGCTTGGAATGTGAAGTTACAGTTATAACTTAACCAGTTAATTTCACACATTCTTTACATAGGCACAAGATTTATGTGATAAAACTATTTTAGAACATGGGATAAATACAAACTAAAATGTTTTTCTGTGATACAAGGCATATGTCCTAGCTTAACGGGCAGTGTTTTTTTCTTAGAGCTACATATGGGGCATCTTAATTGATGCTCACCTAGATTAAGTAAAAATTTGTAAATTTACTTTTCAAGATAGCATTTATTTATTGGAGAACTTAATTATAAGTCTTACAGTGTTAACAGTTATTTTCTATGAAATGCTTTTGGGGTAAACCTATTGGGGGTTTTAGAGGTATAGTTAGGAATCTAAGAACTGTCTTCTCCTTTAGGGAGAGTGAGATTGGTCCCTCCTTTATATGGGGACTCTTTATGAGGGCTTGTGTTGTGGAGAAAATACTTCAGACCTCAAAGAGTACTAGGGCTTGAAACAGTGGTTGAAAAAACCTGCTTACCTGTGTAAAATGCCTCTTGCCAGGAGTCCGTGTTTGTTTTAACTGAACTTTGGACTGTTTACTAAAGAGAGATGGATTAATGAACTTTCTAGTGTTGTCTGCTCTAGACAGAAATGAGCTGCAAAGTCAAGTTCCTTTCCTGGTTCCTGTTCTTCATGGTTGTGTTTAATCTTGTTTGATACCTCATTCTTCATTCTGGCAGATTTTATTTATTGTCTACTGGCACTGCCCCAAATTGAGTTCCTTAAGAACTGTTTGTAGACATCCTAGCCCTTTGGGCACACAGGAAGTTTAGAGGAAAGCCTTCATGTATACATTTTCTGGGGAAGATGCCCAACAGCTGAGAGTGGCATCTGTTCTGTTCTTCATAGGGCATACTATGACCAGAAGGCATGAAGAGCAGTGGTATTGTTTCTAGCATTGGTTTTTAACGATTCTTATACTAACTAAATGTCACTAAGTGGGTTAAGGTGCCCCAAGGCATCTTGATACCCGGAGGTTGTTTACGTTAGATTTTTTTTTTCATAATCTAATGTTTTGAGCTCCAGGTTTTTTTTTTTTTTTTTTGCTTATGTTTTGCAGTGGTTATCTAAGGTTTATATAGCAATAGGAAAAACTTTAAGCTGCAGGTGAGCTCTCTGTTGTGTCAGTATTAAAGAATGGTGGCTGATGTCATCACCCCTCACCCGTCCAACCTATAACCAGGCCCAAACTAATCTGTAGATATATATATATAGGGCATTATTTATTGGTGTTTATGTTTCTAGCATATATTATAAAACTTTAACAAAAACTGGTTGGCCCGAGAAATAGTACCTTATGGTGTAACAGCTCATACTTCCGTGAAGACATTTTGGATGCCAGTATGAAGCGTCTAAGGCATAGTGCTTTGTGAAAAATTGCTTTCATGGATCTCCTTTACCCCACCAAGAGAAGAGAAACCATTGTCCCTCCTGGTGAAGTGCTTTTGTAGTTGTTATAAGTGTCACACCTGCATTCTCAGGTTCTCATTGCAAGGGGTGTGGCCAAACTTCCAAGTTTAAAGACACAACATACCACTACTAGAGTCTTGCCTGATGACATCATCTCTTTGAGGATGGATTAGAAACTTGAGGACTCAGGTAGATTGTTGTAGTTTCTTCACAGCCAACCCTTCCCAAATTTTCTGTGGTTTGCCTCTGAAGGTAGGTGTTGTCTGTGGGTAGGTGTGTGTGTGTGTGTGTGTGTGTGTGTGTGTGTGTGTGTGTGTGTGTGTGTGTGTGTGTGTGTGTTTGCACATTGCCCATGTTGTGGCATGGCTCAGATTTAAATGCCAAAACACTAAAGATTTGTCTAAAAGTTAGTTGAGGCGTTAAATACACCCGAAGATAGCTTTTTAACTGAATGGCTTCTCACCGTGGAAGTAGATACTGGATAGCTATTTCATGGACATCTTGGCCTCTTTGTTTAGATTAGACTTGACCATTTCAAAATGGTATTTTGTTAAAAGTTTAGAATATGTATGTGCTGACGTCTGGAACATGATGGAAAGCAGTACATGTTTCATGTTAAGAGGAACGATGTTTGAAGTTATTCTGAGTCCACAGTGCAATCTTTTTTAAAGTCAGTTTTCCTGAGACGGTGTCTGACTGTGACTGGTAACCAGTGTAACTGCAGATCTTGACTGGTAAAGTGCTTTTATATTTGAAATTGACTTCATAAAGCCAATGGGCAGTCCTCTGAGCTCGGAAAAGCTCAGGCAACTGTCGAATGGCGTTGGGTTATAGAATCTAGAATCAAAGTACCTTGTATTGTCTGCTGTTCAAGTGTCCCTGAGTTAGAAACTTCTAACATATTACGTTTTTACCCTGTATTAGTAGAAGCTGCATCTCCATTTGTCGGAGCACATGCTGCCTGCTGAGGACGGTCTAGCATTAACCTCCATGCCAGTTCTATGCATAACCATTCACCAAACACTGCTGCTGTGGTTTCTAACAGGAGCCCCTCTGTCCTGTGCTATGATGCATTGTCACCTTGTTGCTTGGCAAATACATTGTAAGGAATTAGAGCTGTGTGTGTTAATAGTACCTTTATATAAATAACAAGATGTAAAATACAGATGAGGGATATGCAAATGAGTGATGTTCCTGTCTTAGAATATCTAAAGCTTCTTGCACAGAATAAAGGAAAATGAAAGTAAGCAAGCGTATGTCTCGTTGATTAAGGATAATGAGTGCACTGGGTGCTTTGGATATGATGGGATTCTAAAGGGTTTTTTCTTTTCTTTTTTTTTTTTCTTTTTATGGGTCCACACTTCTGCACCCCACTTCACCAACTTTAGAAGTCTTAAGAATTGGGAGGATAGTAATAGCATCCACCATGCTAGGAAATTAATGTAGAGCCTAAAAGACAATGTAGCCCAGCCTGTCGGTGTGCTTAATCATACTGAACCTTCCATCATTCAACAGCCTCAAGAGCTTGCTGATTTGCTTGCTGTAGCACATGTTTCACTTTTAACACTGACAACCAGGAAGATCAGAGGAACTGAATACTGCCAAGTGAGCGGATCCAGGGAGAACCTGTTGGAAGTAGAAAAACCATGGATTCCAGTGTCTGAGCCAATGTTTTTCTTCAGTGCTCAGGTGCCAGAATATAGGACAGGAAACGGGACTTTGCCAGGGTTGGTTAGGAGAATCACTTCTAGTGTCAAAGACTTGGCATGGTGAGCAGCACTTAGAAATAGAGCAAAATGTTCTGGAGGAACTATGAGACTGTTCTTACTCCCATCTGCACCACTGGTCCAACCACCTGGCATAAAGATGATGCTGTTTTTGAAGGACTTGGAGAGAAGGCACTAGCTACAGTCGTAGTTTTCCAGGTAGTAGGCATACACAAGGACAGGGCCTTGCATGTGAAGCTGTGTGTTATTTCTGGAACTGAGAATGCAAATGGTTTGACAGTAGCGATGTGTGAAAGAGCTAGACTACAAAGGACATTGTATATAACGATATACAAGCCACATGTGATGGTATTGAAGTTTTGTTTTTGTTTTGTATGTACACAGCATTCTGTCTGCATGTATCCCTGCAGGCCAAAAGAGGGCACCAGATCTTATTACAGATGGTTGTGAGCTGTCATGTGGTTTCTGGGACTTGAATTCACAACCTCTGGAAGAGCAGTTTTTAACCCTGAGCCATCTCTCCAGCCCCTGCAGTATTTCTGATAACTGCTTCTTGAATGTAGCCTAGGCTGACCTCAAGTCACCATCCCCCTGCCTCAGCCTTATGCCACAGCAGGCTTGGAATATTTCACAAATGTGAATACAAATTGGTGTTCTTGAATGACTATTCTTCCAGGCACCTGGATTGGGTACAGATGGTTTAGAAAGATCATGTTACCTATGAGGACAGATTTGACATACTATAAACAGGATGTCCCTTTCACTGGGCTGGGCAGAGACATGGCCATTTGGACAGTAGTACTAAATATGGGGCCTTTGGGGTTAAAGAGTAAGATGAGATTGGCCTGTGAATGCAAGGAGGGGGGTGGATGATAACGTCAACATTTTAGGTTGGTAGTTGATAACAGAGCATTGCATGTAGGAAGAGATTTGAGCTTGAGTATTAGAAGGTTCAAGTCTAGTTGAAGGCCTCTAACTGAGTTTGGGAATACTTTTTTGTCACTTTGACAGAATGTGAGGTATGAGAGTTCTAACTTGGTGTTTAGGTTAATGTGGATAATGAAGTGATAAGTAAAGGATATGACACCCTCCCTCCCCCTGGAAAGAGCTGGAAGAAGTAACCTACACAGCATGGCTATGGTTTGACTATTTTTGTCTCTGACAATTTGTTTCAAGAGTAGCCCAGTGCCACAAATGTTGGATGATGAGGCTTTTGGGGGGGGGTGTCTGGAACTGGGGGATTCTGCCTTCATGAATGGTTAATGAGACTAAAAATATTAAATGTGTTGAGGGGGTGGGCTTGCTCTGTTTTTGCTCGTAGACCATGTCAAGGGACATCATCCTAGACTCAGATATCACTCCACCAGTGTCTTGCTCTTCGGCTTTCAGCTTGGGAACTGAGAGAAAGGGGTTCCACATGATAAATTACCCAGGCTAGGGTATTCTGTGATAGCAGCACAGGAACAGGCCCCTAAAGAACATCACCATTTCAGACATTGACAAAAAGTCCATTATGGATGCTGAGAAAGACTGATAGAGAAACAGGGGCACCCACCGCAGAGTGATGATATCCTGGGAGCAAAACAGAATGGCAAGAACAAGGGTTGGAGCTGAGTGATGGTGCTGCTGTCTGTCAGGAATTGGTAACAGGAAGCTGATGCAGTGGTTCATGCCTAAAATAAGAGTCTGTAATCCTGGAAAGGAACAGTCAGAAGAACTTTATGGGGGTTGATTTCACAGGGTTGGTGATAAGATACAACAGGTAAAGAATGCAGATCAGCCAGCAATGGAGGATGGTGGGATAGAACATGTTGGAAGAGACAGATTGAGAGTGAGACTAAGTCATGTGACAGAAACAAAAATGGCCAACCTAGATCCTAGGTTGATGTTTTTCAGTCAGCTTAGCAGCTGCACATGAATCTACTGATATTTTAATTAACATCTGCGGCTCCACAGTCCTGCAGTCAGTGTCTCACCAGCCACTCAGGCCACAGCTTGGTGTGTCTTCCAGTGCTGTAGCCTGACTGCCATGGTCACCATATGCAGTTTTAAATTAAGTATCATCTTATTTATCAGTAAGTCTTAGGAGTCAAAGGCTGGGGTGAAAACCTACTAGCTCAGAGAAGTTGAGTAGCAACTAGCTGACCTTGTTTTTTTTGGCTGGAGACACTGCAAGAGACATGTCTCTTCCCTCATTCCAGAACCAAAAGGAAGCTCAGACTCTCATCTACCCTTTCCTTCCTGTGTGTCCTCTCATCCAAATTGCTGATTTCTCTATAGCTAGTTCTAGTCAGTTAGTCACTGGCTCTGCCCCCCTCATTCAGGGTAAACTTTATTTAACTGTTATTTATTTAACAGTCTCAAAGTGTCATAGTGCAATCAAAATATCCCACAACACTAGATTAAAAGTTAAGAGAAATGAGATCCTATCCAAATGTTATAACTTGGTACTTTTCCTTGGTCTTTTAAATGGGAGACTTAGGTCTGACTTTTAGAATATTCACTGTATTAATATATAAACAACCAGTTACTATCCCTGCTATTCATTCATCTTTGTAACTGTAGAAGTCTTCCAAGGACAACTTGCTCCAGAAGTTGCTCAGTTCATTAAAAATGTCAGTTAAGAGGGATTCACAAAACATGCATTCATTCTATATTATTTCTGAATAAGACCAGGACAATTCTCCCGGCTCCCTTTTTAACCTGATTGCAGATCCAGTGAGTTTCTTTCATCTTGTCTTTGCAAAGGTCAGATTTAATTCTCTGATTCAGTCTTGTTATCTGAAGAACAGACCTTTGCAAAGAGTTTGTTTTTTTAAACCATATTATCCATGATACCATAGTATGTGTACCTGCATGTATTTGAGACAGTCTCACTCTGTGTCTTGTGACGGTCTCCGGCTCAGTGCATAACTCAGGCTAGCCTCAGTCCCTCTAGAACTGCATCTGGCTCAGTATGTGTATTTTAAACTTAACCACTTAGATGGACAGGACTTTTAGCATCTTGCCTCCTTGAAAATTTCTCAGTACATTCAAACAATTTTCCATAGGAACATCACCTCTCTCCTTATTTGCTGTAATATTTAGTTGAAAGTGTGTGACTACAATATCAGAGATAAGTAGAGTATGCATACTCATGTTTGGGAATGAGTTTCATTAAACATTAAGACTCATTAGTGAGAACAGAACTGTGAGCCTACACTGACCTATCCTATTCATGATGGACTTGGGCATCTTGTGTAGAAGCCAATGAGAACCTTAGCCTGGTGTCCAGCACATTCTGTGTCTACTCCCACCTTGCCTTCCTCCTGACATAGGACAAACACTGCCTGTCTAGATGTGTCTCCCTTCCTTCCTCCTTTCCAGCAAATCGACACTGCCAGTGACTTCTCACTCCATGTCAACTGGATCTGTCCTTTTCACACAAATACTCTTGAAGGAATGAAGGAAAAGCCTTCTCTTCATGTCAGACCCTACTGCCTCTGTGACATCTCTGGCAGAAACTGGGGGACAACTTTAAGTCCTCAAGTTGACCTGGCATTTCCTGTGGTTCCTTCCTTCCTTCCTTCCTTCCTTCCTTCCTTCCTTCCTTCCTTCCTCGAAATGTGCTTTTCCTTGGACTATATGGCACAAATTCTGGATTGTATTCCTGCTCATTTGGCCCTGCCCCTATCCCATGAACAGCCTGAAGCAGAACCTGACAGCTCACGAGCCTTAGTTCTAGCCCTGCTCTTACCCTGTGTGCCTTCTCTGGGCTGTTGTACTTGTGCCTTCAAATGTTTTCATCACTGGGACCCTGTTTCTTTCTTGAGCCAACTCCCTTCTTAGTACCTCCTTTGGCTGTCTTAAAGACTGAGGGATTGGGGAGGTGGTTGGTCGGTAAGAATGTTGCCAAAACATTAGGACCCAGGTTCAGATTCGTAGTACTGGGGACCGGGGGCATGTGGTGGGGCTGAGAAAGTGTGGGGTGTACAGATCAACAAGCATTTGTAATCCTGGGCGGAGAGATCAGTGGATTCCTGGAGATCATTGGCTAACTGGCCTAGCTAAATCAGTGAGCCCAAGGGTCAGAGAGAGACCCTGTTTAAAAACTAAAAAGAAAGGAAGGCATGGCTCTGTGATGATTGAAAATAATGTGGAGAAGTGACTGAGGAAGACACTCAACATTGACTGCTGGCCTCCACACATGTGCACACACACACACACACACACACACACACACACACACACACACACACACACACACATCCCTTGCACACATAATACACATACAAACTACAGGTCAAACTCAACATCAAATTTATGTATGGTCCCTAACCAGGTTCTAACCTGGTGTTCTTTTTTTTTTCTGTGCCCCCAAACAATTGTTTACATCCATAGCCTCAGTGTGGCCCTCTACACCCCCGGCCTGGTGTCCTACACCCAACTTCATCAGGCCTTGCCAATTGGCCTTCTGAACTAGTTCTGTATCCTTTTCTCCGTGCCGCAGTTAACCACTGTACTACAGGAGCTTGTAGGAT